GAGAGAGAGAGAGAGAGAGAGAGAGAGAGAGAGAGAGAGAGAGAGAGAGAGAGAGAGAGTATTGTTATCTAATTGTACAGGATGCATTAATTTTAAAATCAGCTTTAAGCCTCTTCTCTGTTGCCGGTCTATTTCTATAACATCATCTTTTTATATAGAAAATCATACTGCTCATAAAATACATCAGGTCTATGACATCTCTGGCTACAGGTAACTGGCTAGGTTGTACAGTACCAGTCATGGTTAGTTCTAGCTTGGATACTTATGACCTGTGCACAGAACGTATGTTGTCTCCAGCAATAGGTGCTTACCCTCAAGTTACAGAAGGAAAAAAATGGCAATTAAACTTCACTGTCTGTGGAGACCCCCTGTATTCCTCTGACCAACTAGAAAAGGAGAAGTTTCTCTTGAAAATGATCTCTAATTTAAAGCATAAAATGTTATTAAAAATTATGCTCTTCTTTAGTGGCAACAAACCCAAGAAAGCAAAGTGTAATTATTACTGAAAGAAAATCCTAGCTAAAAGATAATGTTACTTATTTACACACTTTTGTAATTAATTTGATGTTATTTATACAAGGAAATATAAATTGTGAAAGGTGATACTGTAGATACTAATGTTTTAAACTATAATCGCTGTTAAAAAATTCTGAAATGAGGGTGAGCTACATGAATTATGATTGATCATATGTCATAGCTATATCAAAACCCTTAGAATGGCACAGAATATTTTTAACCTTCTTTTGAGAAATATTCAAGTACAGCATCTGGGGTTAGTTTTTAATTGCAAATAATATAAGCACAGCAGTAAAACAATATTTACATATATTTGCCTATATCCTGGCTTTAATATATCTCATTGGGTATTAAATATTACAAAAAATGTGTAAATGAGAATGATAAATTCTCTTCTACCCTGATCATATTCTATTATGCACCAATAAATAAAATTTCTCTATAAAAAAGACATAGAAACAAGCATCACAATCAACTCAAGACTAAACTGTTCAGGCTACAGAGATGGTCAATGGTTAAACAATTGGCTGTTTTTACAAAGAGTCCAGGTTTAATTCCCAGCCCTTAAAACTCAAAACCATCTGTAAATCCAGTTCCAGGAAATTAAATGTCCTTTTTTGTGCTCTGTTGCACAAGGTATATATGTTGTGTACAGACATACGTGAAGGGAAAACACACACACACACACATACACACACATGCACATGCAGGCACGCACGCATGCACATGAATGCACAAACCCAAAGAACATAAATATGACTTGGTTGCTTCCACATCTATCTATCTATCTATCTATCTATCTATCTATCTATCTATCTATCTATCTATCTATCTACCTATCATCTAGCTATCTATTCATCCATCTCTTAAAAGTTTGGATGTATGCAATCGTTGTCCCAGTGGACAATAGTGACAGAAAGAAGCAAGCTTAACTGTGCTTCTTCTAAAGCTTATTCCTATCATCCATGAGGGTTACTCTCTCATGTTTTACCCAAATGCCTACTTCTGAGGCCATCACATGGAATATTAGTTCCTAAAATAAGAATTTGAGAAGATACCGTTATTCAGAGTGTAGCAATAATTAAGGTAAAAAACCAGTCTAGTAAAATACTTGATGTTGCTAGCATAATTGAGACATCAAGGGTAAGACCATCTTCTGATATACTATTAGACACATCCCTGCCCTTTCACATTTCTATGTGATCCATGGGTGATTCAAGATCTACTAACCTTTTCATTTTCTTTATTCTATGGAACCTACTTAAATTATAGATAAAATGTACTCAGATAACTTTCCAATGATTCATTTCCAAATATACTAAATACTTTTATATTTGAGCTGGCGAGCTGGCGAGATTGTAATGTGTTTGCAACATAAGTTTGATGACCTGAGTCATGACTCCCAGAATCATCCTCCTCACATAAAAATCTTGATGTTGTCAGATTTGTTGTCTTGATGTTGGCTTATGTCAGTATCCCAGAATGCACCTCTGAGGGAAAGGAGGCTAAAAGCAGGCTTGCTGTAAACTCCTTTGCCAACTGGCATGGCATTCATAGTAGTGAGTAAGAGGAAATCGACACTCAAAGATACCTCCTGTCCTCCGTATGTGTGCTGTTGTATGCACACACCTGCACTAATACACCATACTACAATATATACAAGCACACATACACCAAGCATCGAATTAAAAATATTTATATTGTCATATGATGTACACATTTAAAATATCAATCTATATTTTAACCTTATCCATCCTTTAGAGAACAATATGAAACAAAAGTCATAATACTACAGGGAATTACAAGCTAGTGATCAATTACTTTCAATTACTTGTTCTACCTGAAGAGTTTCTGTCAAGAACATACCTATTGGCTCACTTCAAATTCTGTAGTTCTCTCCTTTATGAAAACACATTCTGATGTGTTTGTATTCTTGTAACACTTTAACTCTCTGACTCGGCATGTATTTTGTGGCTCTGGCACTCTAATAAGCCATTGTTTCAAAAAAGAGTAATTTTATTTTTATATCATTAAGTGTCCTTTCCTCAGACTACGATGAATTTTTCTTTCTGTCTTTTATTTGCATAAGTAAAATCTTCATTTTTGCATTATTATGTATCTTTTCTGTATCTAATTATCATTAACTTTCTTTTGACTGTGCAGGGCAGGCTATTTGCCTCAGAATATTCCCCTAGAGATCATCAGATACCTGTCTGAGGAAAAGGATTTTCTTCCTTGGCACGCTGCCAGCCGAGCTCTTTATCCTCTGGATAAATTACTGGACCGCATGGAGAACTACAATATCTTCAATGTAAGAATATAGAATTTCTTCTTTCTAATATTCAGAAGATAAAATATTTTCTCATTATGCGCTCTATGCAACTGAGTCTGAATTATTTCATTTCCCCTTGCCCGTTTAGGCTGTTATTTTTGTCCTGATTTTCTATGCAATACCGATGACAGTTATTTGAAAAAAGAAATTTAACACAAGCTACCTTTTATTCTGGCCTAAAAGTGTCAATTAAGCTTAAGTGCTTGAGAATTTAAGAAAGAATGTACATGGCAAATCCATAAAGTTCAAACTTACTTCTTCAGAGTTAAAGGGCTCTCTGTTCACAAAGGACTTAACCTGAGTAGAGAGATCCCAGAAAATTTAACAGAATATAGACAGTTTCAATGAAGATTCTTAGTCATTATTTTCATCCAGAAGGGCATGGTGAATTCAATGCACCTCTTTAATTAACAAGGATAAGATCAACATTGAGGCCAAAGCCCATCCATAATTGGGTCCAAGGGGATACAGGGCAGCAAACAACGGATAATCCAGGCAGACACGGAGGCATGACACACATTCCAAAATGGTACCTGACCAGATTTTCTAAGCTTAAAGCCCAGGAAACCAAAATTGCATTGCCAAGAGCAACTAATCGGATTCAATGATCATTTTGAATTATATCAGGATTAAGTACAGCTAATGAGCTTTTGATTCCTTGCTTTCTTAATTTAGTGCACTGTAAATTTCTCTTCAGATATTTTAAGAACCTGTGCTGTGCTTTATGAAATGATCCTGTGACTTGTGACATAATCAGTCTGTGAATTAACAGACACAACTGAAATTGTTCAAAGATGGGCTGTCAGAGATTCAATTCGTGATTAGAACCATCCAGGTTGTCTAATGTTCATTACAGACACCTCGTTCCCTCCTGTTTTTCTCACCCAAAGGCTTCATCAAAGTGACTCTATCAACTTACTGTTCTAAAATTGAGAATAATCACGGCTTGCCTGTTCATTGTTGTTAGTTTTGCATAAGCCCTTAGCAACAGACATGCAAAGAAATGTGTCATTTGAGATAGGGGATGATGTTGATCTTCTAGAGAAAGTCTTATATTTCCCTTTTTCCCTAACAAAGATGCTGAAGTATGGAACTCTTAAAAAAGGCAAAATACACTCTTGTGTATATTTATACTTTTGAATGGTATAGTTTCGTTAGATTCTTCACTTATAGGAAAAGCTAAGTGATGTTCTTACTGTAATTTTACTGCTTTCATTCCTTAGACAAAATTCTAAGATTGCATTAAAGTAAGAAAGAGCATATCTTACATCAGCATTGATATCAAAATGCGTCATTAGTTGAGTAGATTTTTGAAATTGCGATAATACATCACTGTATGGAAGTGTTATGTATCCTCTCTTCCATAATACTAGCCTATTGGTTGGGCCAGTCTAACAGCTTTGCATTGAGTAGCCTCTATTGCTGTAAAATGTACAAATAATTGTTGTTTCAGTTGGAGAGAATGGCTTTTCTTCTATAGGACTGCAGTTCAGTTACCAGCATCTGTATTGGTGTGGGTAGCTTATAATCACCTTTAACTCTAGCTAGAGTAGATCTGAGGCCTATTTCTGACCCCTGTGAATACATACATGTACATAGTTGGCATCTACTCACATAGGAACCCAGACCTATGCATAAACAAAAGTGAAACCTTAAAAAGTATTAGATGCTTATTTTCCTAAGTTGTATCTGTGTATGGTTATATACATGCATGCATGAATCTCCCCCGGATATTCCCCATTTTCCTTACTTGATTAAGATTGGTCATGGAAAAAAAATAGCACTGCAAATTATTCAGTTAGAAGAAAAGAATGCTGTCTTCTATGTCTGAAATAGTAAGTTGAATAATAGCACAAGACAAAAGAATTGCATGGAATTACCAAGATTTTGTTTTCAAATTACAGAATTTGGGAAGAATGAAACTAATATCATCTTGGTTTCTTCCATTCTCCATGTAGGAATATATTCTAAAACAAGTTGCAGCGACGTACATCAAACTTGGATGGCCCAAAAATAACTTCAATGGATCTCTCGTTCAAGCTTCCTACCAACATGAGTACTGTTTTACTTTATTGTTCTCCTCTTTCCCCAGAGCTGTGCAAGTACACACTGCTAGTGACACGGTGACTTTAGCATCATGAGGCTGCCTTTGTCTCATTCACTTTCCAGGGAAGACTGCAGCTGAGCAACACAGTTTCTGTTGCCTGATTATGAGAACAAAGCAGTTCATGACAGGGTTTTAAGATCTGTCTGTGTGGTCATCTTGGGATCAGAATCTGCACCCCTGAGTGCAGGACTAGCTCCAGGAAACACTTAGAGTGCTTGATTCCTGCTCAGACTAATTCAGTCACTACTCAGCCTCACAGGATTTCTGTGTCTAAATCTATTTTGTGTTATCTTATACTTACCTACCATATGAATTACTCTTTCCATGCTGTAACAATACAAGCGATTATAGGAAGTAGAGTTTTTATTTCACACAATCTATTTCATACAATATTTTATGTAAATATATGAGGAAAGGAGTTTCCTTCCCTCAACTCCTCCTAGATACACCTTATCTCCCTACCCACTCAACTTCAAGTGAGTTCTCTGTCTGTATTAAGCAAAACCCAAAAGAGAAAGAGAGAATGAAGAGACAGATAGAAAGACAAATAAAACCAAATAAGACAAAAATATGTAAATAAAACAAAACAAAATGGAATTAGTTGTATGATGTCCACGTGCTCTGGGGCATGGAGCCTATTATGGAACATGATGTTTATGTATACAGTGAACCTAACTGAAGAAAATTGATCTTTTCTTGTCTGGTTTGAACCTGTCCAGGTGTTACAAAGGTTGTCACAGTCTTTGTGAGTTCATATGTGTGTCACTCCTGTTTAAATGTATGTAGGGTTTACTTTGATCCTTGGTTTACAAGGATACTTTCCAGGGGTCATTATGCATGGTGATAGGAAAGTGAGGGGAAGTATCATATAGTGTCCACACTCAGAAAGCAAGGAGAGGTGAAGTTTACAGTTCAGTTTGGCTTCTTCCTATATCCTGAATAAGGTCTAGACCTCTGCCCATGGAACAGTGCCATGTTCATTCAGGATGGGTATTATTTCTTCAGTAAACAATCTCTGGAAACAACAGGTCTATTAGGGACATATCTTCATTGCTAACTTTAAATCCAACCAAAATGACAATGGAGATAACCAACATAAGAGAGATGGTGGTCTATCTGTCTCTGGCTTTCCCATATATGTCTTTTCTCTCTGTATCCAACCATCCATCCATCCATCCATCCATCCATCCATCCATGCATCCATCCATCCATCCATTCAAAATGATTTGCTCTGATTTTTTTCAGATACTAACATTTTCTTTAACCTTCTTTTTTCCTTTGACAACATATAGAGAGCTACGGAGGGAAGTGATAATGTTGGCATGTAGCTTTGGGAACAAGCACTGTCACCAGCAGGCGTCAACACTTATTTCAGACTGGATTTCCAGCAACAGAAACAGGTAAGTTGAGCCCATCCTGCACTTCTGATGACATTTTTCAGATCTAGGTGGCTACATTCCTCTTATCAACTGGGGAAACGCAAGACAAGAAAAATACACAGCAGATCATTGTCTCAGCTTCACAGTGGGCAAAATAGCAGCTTGCTTGCTGTAGCACACTCATCCTGGGACTGTTACCTAGGATTTAGGCTAACTTTGTTTATCTAGGCCCTCATTCTTCATATACGTGAGGCATCACTTTGAATTAATTATAGTAACTTCCTTATGTGAAAGAAATTAACTTAATTTAGCCTCTTAAAGGTTTTTATAAATGTTGAAGTGTTTATTCAGTCACCAGCAAAGATTATCAACAAAGAACCAGAACTGATGTTTGGATGAAAAACTAGAAACCAAAAGGTCAGTAAATAAGGCCTTTGCTCTTTGAGCGCCCCTCAACAATGCCCTTAAACTTGTGTCTTATCTTAGAATTTTATGGTGCATACTATTAATACAAATTGAAAATTAAAATTATTTGATAAAATGTTTTAAAGAAAATGTTATTCTATGAAATGTCACATTTTAATGAAAGTGATAGATGTATCGTAGCTATATATGTCTCATAGACAACACACACACGGGCACACACACACACACAAACATGCATCTTATTGACATAATGATAATTTCTTGTATTTCCAGAAGTCTTAGTTCTCATTCATATATATATGAATTATCATATATATATATATGTCAATATATATATATATGTCAATAAGATGTGTATATGTGTGTCATCTATAAGACATATATAGGTATGATACATTCATTACTTTCATTAAAATGTGGTGTTTCATAGAATGTTTTCTTAAAAACATGTTATTAAATACATATGTCCTTATTTTATATATATATATTCATACATATATTTTAATATATAGGGAATTAGTTTTCCAAAGTATGTGTGCGTATGATATATATGATATGTGTGACATAGGATGTGTGTGTGTGTATGTGTATATATGATGAGGTTCTGGTGTGTGTGTGTTTCTGGCTTCCATGATTAACTATAGAACAAGAGACTCATGGGAAGATAGGAAAAGAAGGGAAGCTGGAGGATGATGTTTTGTGTGTCACAAGAGGTTTAACTCTGACATAGGTCACAGTGGTAAACACCTCACACTGAAACATATAGAACTACAGGCATTAATACTTGCTTTGGGATCAACTTGATAATTGTCTTAGCAACAATTTTACATTTAAATTTAATACCTCACTGAGTCCAAACAAAAGAATGGCAAATGTGTTTAAAGGTGCAGTCCCAGAGGGAAAGCCTTTATTGAAATGTTTAGTGCTTCTTTAATATTTCTCACTCTCTTTAACAGTTTCCCCCTTGTCCTTTCAATGAATTGTTTCTGGTCCTTTGCTGAGTTACAGAGGAAAGTACTTTGCCACTATCATCTGTCAATTGATCCATCATGCATTCAAGTTGATGATTAAATTTCATCTGTCTTTTCTAGGCCTAAAGTGTCACCATTTTTAAAATTTTACTGATGCTAGTACTTAGTGTCCTTTTTGGGCTAAGTCTTCTGAAAACTGTTGCCTTAGAACTGGACACATCATAAGACCTCCTCACCTGTTGTCCTCACCCTCTTCGAGTCTACCACAAGCAATTAGAACACAGAAACATTTATTCAAAATGTAAAATGAAAAATTAAGGTGTGTGTCACACATACACAATAGAAAAAGAATGAGCAATAATAATATTTTCAAATAATAATTTCTATTTCCTTATGCTTTATTTTAACTTTGTTTCCTTTTAATATATTTATTATGTATTTATTGGCTATACATTCCCTTCCTTAGAGCTAATAATTGATTTTAATCTTTCACTTACCTTATCCTTGTGAACATATTTTTCTTACCATTTTATTAAAATGTGTTCGACGATGCTTTATTATCATAATTTCCCAAAGAACATTCAGGCTTAGCATCCACATTTAAAAATTATAATTATTGGGAAAGTTCCCCTAATTTTAAAAATAATCACTTACCTGAAAAACTTTATTAAGCAAATTTTTATATCAAATGGTAGCTGGAAAGCAAATAGAAATGATCTCAAAATTAGTAGTGCATAGTTCTATTAATGGTATAGTGTGGCAGTGGTGTTCAATACATTTTTAGTTTACTTTCTGAAAAAAAAATAGGAACAAAAGAGAAGGGGAGGACATGCCAAAGGAAAAGATCCCTGCTTGGAAGAATCTCCCCTGATGGATAAAGCTGTCTTAATTAGACTAGCTTGGACCAGGGGCAGCAGTGGCTCTGTACCAGAATGTAAAGCAGGAAGATGGGATTCCAAATGGCACAGACAGGACACTGTCTAGTTTAATAAATATACCAGTTTTCATTCACAAGCTTTTGTAATCTATTATTCTCCCAATTCCTTTATAAATGGAAGTTTATGCATAAGTGGCCAGCTCATTTTGGCTTTGATAACTCTGCCTCTATTCATGGTAAAAAAAAACCAAAAAAACAATTAAGTTGGAGCCAAACATTTTATGATTCTTTTGACAGTTTCTTCATTACTTTTATGATCTCTGCTTTGCTTTCTTTCGTGTTGAGGCATGCAAATTTGCTAAATGGAACTTACTCTGTTTACTAAGAATTGCTTAAGCAACTGTGTGGTATGCCCACTAGTCTACTGAAGCAAGGGAACTTGATATCCACTGAGCTAGTGTACGTGAAGATTCAAGGCTTTCTTTCAGTTATTCATATGGGATCTTAATAGTAGACCAACATCACGAAAGACAATTGACAGTTGGTGCTAGGTTTAGCTTTCTTCTTTTTCAAAATAATACTTTTATTGGCTATTTGGGAATTTCATGTAATGCGCCCTGGTTATACTCACTTCCCAGTTCTCTCAAGTCTATTCATCATCCTTGTAAACTTCCTGCCAAACTCCCATGTACCCTCCCCCCCAAAAAAAGAAAAAGAAAGAAATACCACAAGTCTAATTTGTATTGCCTGTATTCTCCCTGGAATGTAGTCAACTCCCTGTGTTCAGCCCTTTAAAGAAAATTGGTTTCATAAATATACTACTTTTCATTCACAAGCTTTTGTCATATATTATTCCCATAATTTCTTTATACATGAAATTTCATACATATGTGGTCAGCTCATTTTGGTTTTGCTAATTCTGCCTTTGTTCATGGTACAAATGATTAAGTTGAAGCCAAACATTTTATAATTTTTTTGATAGTTTCTTCCCCACTCTACCCCTACCAGAATCATCAATCGTGGAGCTCTATACTTCAGTCTCTTTATCACAATTTTTGATAGTTCTGTTCAATAGTTTCCTATATAGGTTGTAATTTTGGGGGATAGTGGGGCTAGGGATAGATAATATCACCAAAAATAAAAGTTTAAGTTTCTTTAATGAACAGTAAAGGCAAAAACAGGCTTGAGCTGCTTAGTCAGCTTTCTTTTCCCACACTTTGTTTGATTGTTTATCTGGAACCTTAAAAAAATGTAATCTGTAAAAAAATTATCTAAGTGAGGAACACTGGGAGTCACATAAATAACACATGGTACATGTTAGAAGGTGTGTGTTTATTTTGAAAAACATAGAACAATGAATCTAGAAGTCGTGAGGTTCACATATCCTAGGGGGTGCTGCAGAGCTGTTCCAGCGTCTTGACACATTAGGCAGATGGGCAGATTCGGAGCCACTGGAATCAGGCAAATGGAACAGATGTGCGAGGAGGATAATGGAAACAAAAAGTGCCACGAATAGCTGGAGATGATGGGAGCAGAGAGAAAAATTCAGGACTTACAGTGGGTGATAAATGGAATGAGTCGACATTCTCATCCCTTTTAAAATATTCAAATGCTACAGTGTGTCGAATTGTAACGGTGATGTCATGCATAAAAATGGATTGAGCCACGTTCAGGTCTTGTTAGGTTGCAATTTGCAGGCTAAGTTCAGCCGAGTGCCACAGTTCAGAAAAGAGACAAATTGCCAAGCCTTCAGTAGAGAACAATACAGATGATAAAACGATCTTGAAAATATGAAGTAGGAGAGAACTTCCGAGACCTGGAAATTTCACACCTAAAAATAAAAGAAAGGAAAAAAAATAAGAGACATCAGTCTTTTTATTATTAATATATTAAAAACATGAGCCAGAGATAGACAGTATTTTTTTCACTTGCTGATAAATAGATAAGAAATAGAAGTTTGGCTGAGACAAGTGTAGAGCATACCCTGCTACTGTAGATTAATTTCTACTTGACAGTCTCTGTGATGGCATGCAGTGGGATGTATACCACTGGCCACATAGGGATCATAACCTTTTTTTTTTCCTTCAGTAATAGATTTAAACTGAAATTACATGTGTGGCCATAGTACTTTTTCATATAGAATTAGAGGCCACAACACAAGCTTTAAACTCATTCTGAGTGTGATGATGGTTAGTTCACACTGAATTGTTGAACAGTCCATACAATCTAAGCCAATCTAGTAAATCCCCTTTGTAATACATATCCCCTTGATGTCTCCTTTCCTGTAGAGAATTCTGAGAAATGTACAGATTAGCTTCGTATGAAAGGTTTACTCAATAGACAGCACTACCCTTTTCCAACATGTAAACTAGAGACTGACATCTTAGCATCTTAGCTCTACTTAAAAAAAAAAAAAAAACAACTTTAAAATGGGGCTGGGAATAGCTCAGTCAATGGAGGACTTTTCAGGCACACAGATTCTATTCATCGAATCTTTATGAGTGATAGCATCTTTCTATAATCTCAGTACTGGAGAAACAACAACAGGTGATTCTTTGGAAATTATTGGTCAAGCAACCTAGCCTATATGATGAGCTCTGGCTAAGTAAGAGGTTTTGTCTCAAAAACCAAGGTAGGCAGTTCCTGAATTACAAAATCTTATGTTATCCTTTGACTTCCACAGACACTCAGACACATAGACACACAGATACATATACACACACATATACACATACAGACACATAGAT